CCGTGTAAATCTCTTTCACTGCGTGAACAGAATACTTGCAAAAATCTTTTGCTGTCTTTCTATTTTCCTCGTCCTCTTTTATATTTTCGCTCTCTGCACCTCCCTCTGTCTTGTTGTCAGTCTCTTATTTGTGCGCGCTGCTTCATGTTAAAGGCTACAGGCTGCACTCTAGTGGTTCACTCATGCCCGTCCCTCCCTCTAAGGTGCCTTGACACAAGCTCATGCTTCCTTTCTGCATCAGAGAAGCCATCAGAGACGCTGTTGCCATGTTTGATTATATGTTTATACCAACAAAACTTTATAAAAATAAAATTCGGTCAAATACCTCTCTAATTGATGGCTCAAAGTCAAAACCTTCTCTCAGAGAAAATTGGAGGGAAAAAAAGACGTGTCAAAGGTTAAATGATCTCTTGTTCTCTGCTGCTTTTCACACGGTCGGCTAAAAGGAGATACATGAACTAAGTTTGAGGTCAGGGCAAAACACCTGAAGGCGAGAAAATTGAAAAGATCGGCTAAAAGGTTCCGTCAGACTTTGAAACTGTTATTACTTTTTCTGAAGCTGACAAATATATGTGGAAGCTGGGTGGAATAGCATTTTTAAAGCTGGGGGCGATAGGGAGGGCTGGGATGTTATTAACAGACCCTGTGAGTCCCATTCAGACATCTTTTGTTCTCTATCTCTGGCATTTGATTTATTTGGATGTGTTTGTCTTCTTCAATCCAGCCCCTTTCATATATTTGATTCCTGTGAGGTTATATGAACTTGATTTATTTTCCCCTCTTCGTCGTGTCATGCTTTCTATCCTCCTCTTCTCTCACTACTTCTCTCTCTCGCTCTTTCTCTCAGGCCGTTTCTCTTTCACAATAAACCTCTTACTAGCTCTTTGTCACCATTGTCTCCTGTGCGCTATAGATTTTTTCTCATTTCAGGTTTGATCCCCTGCAGCAGAATAATATTATGTCAGAATAGGTCAGCATTTGAGCTGTTTCTGGTATCACTCACACAAGCACATACATGCACACACACACACACACACACACACACACACACACACACACACACATGCTTGAACATGTTGACACACTCACACACAACTCTTATTTGCATTTCCACAAGTACACACACACTCACACACAGCCATGCAAGCTCTGCAGGGTTAGACCTGTCACCTGGTAAAATATGTTGCTCTCCCATTTCAGTCAATGATCAAGGCACTCAATGAAATAAGAGTCGCTGCACCTCACACTTGGTTTCTCATTAACTTGATGTCACATACAATATCAAAGACAAGCGTGTCACTATTTGACATCATGGGGTCTCAGTTTAAGGCAATGTGCTCCTCAACTGCAGTGTTCTCCATTTATTACCACGTGGTCTCCAGAGAGATGCAATTTTTTTCCTCCACCTCCCAGTCCTTTTTGTTTGTGTTTGTGTTTTTGTGTGATGTTGAGCAAACCTTTTAGCAGAGGAGCTTCTGACCACTCAGCATTCCACTGTTGTGTTGACTTGGAAAAATAATGACTAATATTAATTGATAATTATGTAGCTTCTTAATCACCTGACCTTTGTTCCCCTAATGACATTTAATGTATTAACATCACAGAGACAGTAGAACATGGACTCTAACAACCTCAGCTAACAAAATTAAACTGTTGTTATTCAGCTCTGTAACATCAATGTCTTTTTCTATTTTATTCTTGTGCATTAATCAAATTAGTAATGTGTCCATAGCTCAATATGTTTAAATCAGCAGTCGTATACACACACACACACACACACACACACACAGTTTCTTGCAGTCACAGCAATTTTCAAATAATGCCAGACTAGATTAACCCTAAAACCAAGTCTTAAACCTGAAACAGCCAGGTCAGAAAGTGAGGACCTGCCAAGATGTCCTCACTCTGTGTAGGTTCTAGGCTCAAACTGGTCCTCACAAAGCTATCTGTACAAGAACATGTACACCTAATTCTGTACATGTAAGTGTCCCTGTGAAAGTATGAGAGCTACTCTCTGTGTCTCTGATGACTGCTGAGCGATTTTAGAGTTGAGTGGATTGCCATTTTGAGTGATTTTCTGTCAGCATGACTTCCTGTTGCATTATGGGAAATGTCTAATTTAGAAAATGCATCTTTTCCCATGTGTCCTT